CTAAATAAATTAATAACCTTATAAATCAGTCCCTTATAATTAAAAGCAAAATTTTTCTAACACAACCTTTCAAGTAGCTATAAGCGACTTTGTAGGGAACACTTTGGCACAACTGTTGCTGCTGAATTTGCTTTAGTCTGCATACTAGTTGAGCAATAATCTTAAAATAAGTGTGAAGAAAAGAAACGCTTTCAACCTGGCGTAGAATAACCAATATTTAAGCTAGTCTTTTCTTTTAACTATTGTTAAAAGCCCTAGACTGGCTCTAAAAAATTTATTATGGTTGAAAATCGCTTGCTACATGAAAAACAGAGATTTTTTTTTTTTGAAGTGGACAATAATAATTTTATTTGTGTAACGTTTATATTGAATGACACTTGATCTGCAATGTCCCGCGACTAGTAATAATTGCATAATATTACACTATTTATGTAAGTTTACGGTGGGCCCCATAATATTACGCAAATTTGCGTCAGAAAAAATTTCCTGATGCAGAAAAATATGAATTTAGCCCAAGAGCTTCTGTATCATTGCATTGATGGAATTGCTGACAGCAGACACAAATCACTTTGAATGACACTTGATCTGCAATGTCCCGCGACTAGTAATAATTGCATAATATTACACTATTTATGTAAGTTTACGGTGGGCCCCATAATATTACGCAAATTTGCGTCAGAAAAAATTTCCTGATGCAGAAAAATATGAATTTAGCCCAAGAGCTTCTGTATCATTGCATTGATGGAATTGCTGACAGCAGACACAAATCACTAGTCCTAAATGATCCATCTTCTACTGTTGAAAATCTAGAACGTGATGCACATGTTATTCTCAGCAGCAACCCTCATGACATTGTGACTTTATATATCAAAATGCCAATCTTTTTTCTCAGTCTTTATAATGATGTTTTAAAAATATTGGAGCCAACAATACTAGAAAAGACATTAATTAGCATGAATCAGAACATTAGTTGGAATGAGTGGGAGAAGTTTGTAGCATACTATATAACATTTCACACCAATTTGCTTACACGACGTAATTACCAAACAATAACTTTGAGGGATTTACATAATAATGCATATGGAACACAGAAAACTTTAGGAATTGTTGTAAAGCTGAAGGAACTTTCTGTAATACAAGCCCATGGTCAATTTCCATGTGAAAACTTGGTGGACAAAAATCGTAAACACATTGATTGGATGAAAGGAGATCATTTGATTATAAATGGCACATCAGCAAAATTTGCGGATTCATTTGTTGTTAGAGACATCCTTGGCTGCAACAAATATCTCTTAGAAGCATTTCAAAACAAATTATCAATTAATGCACAACAATGTACAATTAAAGATTTCCATAAGGGAATAAACAAAAATCTTGAGAGTCTTTATAATTCAGATGGACTTTTTGCTGACTATCATATTGTAACAATTCTTTTTACTACACAACCATTTGATGGTGATGTTGCAAATCTTGATGAAGATTTTTTAGTTATTTCAAAAGAAAACTTTGCAGCATATTTTGGTCCAGTTTTTCAACACATGCCATGCTTTCTATTACTAATGACATTAATCCTAACCTCTCTGGTTGAGATATGATTAAAAATAATATCCCTGGTGCTGGTGACCTTACTACAACCAATATTGTTTCAAAGAGGCCTTATAAGAGTGAAGAGGATCTGTTCAACAAACATCCAAGAATCAAGAATGCTATGGATCAATTTCCATCTGCAAAGAGACCTAAATTAAACTTTTATCCATTTAGCCTTGAATAATGCTCTGTTTTTGTTGGTGTCATCCTTGCTTTGCATTTTCATAAGAAACTCTATCTGTAATAATAATTTCTTTTTTATCATATTTCACACATTTATTAATTACTCATTGCTTGATATTTAATAATTGGAATCTAATAGTTTATATAATTTTCTGAAAAGATAATTATAATTAATATGTTATAAATTATTTTTATTAGAGGTCAGAGTCAATTTTAACTTCATTTACAAAATTGGATCTAAATTTAATTACCATTTAAAAAAAAAGAATAAAATGGAAAAAATAACCAGAAATGATCATTGAGTACATAACTTATATATATAATTTATTCCTAATCCAGTTATTATCCCTTGTTCAATGCTTATAGATATCAGTTAGAATTTCCTGATTTTCATTTTATACATAAGGATGCCAGAACTACAAAAACTCATGTATTTAATTATTCTGGTAACATCAGGATAAGTTAAGAAATAATAATAAAAAAACCTACAAAATGAACATAATATTATAAAATTATATATATAAGGATAAGTGCATATGAAAAGTAATAATAAATATAATGGTTCTAATGAATATCAAAAAGCCATTGATTTTTTAGAAAAAGGTTGTGATTGTGGTTGCTCTTCCAGAATTCACAAAGAAGAATTGCAGAATTAAGAAAATCTTTTCAAGCTCTTTCTAAGTCAGAACAAGACATATTTTTAATGGCTCAACTTAAGGCAATGGATGGTGGATTAACAAGCACTAGCAGACACCTTAAAAAGAAAACCAGATCTAATAAAAGAACTTTCTACCATTGGGATCACAATACACTTCTTTGTCAAGAAACTTATCTCAATATGTTAGGAATTGGTAGGACTTATTTTGAAAATATTAGAAATCATCTAATAAATAATGGTCTTCTACCAAGAATTCATGGTAATATTAAAAGAATGCCTCAATGGAAAACTAAAATGGTGATTGATAAAAATGTTGCAGAAGTAGTAAAGAATTTTCTAGAAAATTATGCAGAAGTCCATGGTTTACCAAGTCCAGGAAGAAGTATCAATAGAATAACCCAATAAATTGTCTTTTTACCAGCTGAAATGAGTTACAAATCAGTGCACAGAGATTTTTTGGCTGGTCTAGAAGAAGATAGCAAATTGAAATCCTTAAAATATGATGACTTCAGAAAATTGTGACATCAATTGACACCAGAAATTCAAATTACAAGTCCAAGGACTGATTTGTGTGATACTTGTCAACATTTTAGAGATGGTTTACATTACAATGCTTGCCAAAAGGAAGAAGCCAAAGATTTACTTAAAAATTTAAAGAGAAAGAAATTATTATAATAAAAATACCAAATTAGCAGAAGAACAAAGAAAATTGGTGAATCAACATTATTCAAAGGGTAAAACACAATATTGCAGTGTTGAAACTACTGCTCATTATGATTGAGCCCAAAATGTTCATGTGCCCCATTCAGACCAACAGGTAAGTAGGATTTATTACCTTAGTCCACATAAAGTCCATTTATTTGGTATTCAAGATAAAGCAGTAAGGGAACAAATTAATTACATTCTTGATGAAAATGAAATTATAGGAAAAGGACCTAATGGCACCCTTAGTATGATCTTTGATGGAATTAAAAATTGAATAAAGGTGAAAAACATTTAAAGATTACTTGTGATAATGCTGGGGGGACAAAATAAAAATAAGCATAAATGGTGGAGTGTTCAATGTAGCATTTATGCCAAAGAGAACTAACCAAAGACAGTTTTTTTAACTAAAACTATTTTGTTTCTAATTAACTGCAATTTTAATGATAAAGTCCAAAAACAGACTAGGATCGATGACTATTTCCAAAGAACTCCTGAACACCAAAAGGCAATTGTATTTATGAAATATTCAGGTCACA